ATTTCATGACGAAGATTTTGGGTGTATTCGTTTCTTACATAATGTTTTAGCAATCTAAAATTATAAGTAAGAATTTAGAATAATGTTTTTCTCAATAAAATTACAATTTTTAAATTTAATTTTTGGCGCGTTTCATTCGTTAAAATATGTCATTCAAAAAATGAAATTGAAGTAATTTTTTCCATCAAGTTAAAAAGCCCTCCTCTGTAAGTACTTGTGGTTTCATTTGCACACAGGATTGTAATTGCGTTTGTATTTATCATGATAGGAAAAGGAACTTGCTTGAAATAAGATGTGGTAGGGATAAATTGCTTTACTCGCTTTAATACATTTTTTTAATAGAACGTTAAAGAGAAAATATCATGCTTGATAACCTAGTGGTCAGTCGTTCACTGTTATTCGTATTACATACATATGAAGTACATGGTTTTACGGGAGTGCTTCTTAAGTTTGAATTGAAAAGGTACGTGTTTCTATAATCGCCTTATATAATTTTTAGTTTACTATTTTGAAGAGTAATTTAATGATAGTATCGATACACTATAATAATTTGAACTTCATTTGCATGAATGTTGTTCGCGTTGTACTGCAAAGTTATCCTATAATAGAACTTCATTACTGTACTATTTGAAAAATATATGAAATTGTTGCAAACTGTAAGAGAATGTAACAAGATTTTATTAATTGCAACTTATATAAGTTATATAAAACTTATATAAAACTAAAAAAAACTATACAACTTATATAAAAATTAAAAATATGTGCTAAAAATGTGTGCTACAAATATTGCTTTTTCCCTGTAATATAGGCGCAATAAGTAGCAAAATCATGTTATAATAAAGATAAAATAAAATGTAAATGTTACTGTAATAGTTTGCTATGTAACTTTATTTTTGTCAATTATATATTGTTTTATGAAGTACAATGTAATAAATATTCATATTCGTATAAATAAATGTAATAAATATTTATATTCGTATAAATAAATGTAATAAATATTCATTTAGTTTCTTTAAATGTAAGTGTATTAAATTGTTGAGATAAAAAGAACTTTATTGTTTATAAATAGTTTTTAGAATGATCATATTTAATTTTTATTAATTCTTGTAAGACTAACTTTAAGTGGCACAAAATTATATTTTATTTGGTTGTTTATTTTCTTTATTGTTACTTATTGTAATCTCCATGGGAGGCAGAGATCATTCTTATCATTATTTATTTAAGCAATACTAGAGATAAGGTAGGGAATTCTTCATATCGTGTGTGTTATAAGATATTTAAGTTTGATGTTTTCTAATAATACCATGCACATTGTTGTAGATGTATACATGTACATAGTTATAATACATGCTTGCACAAAATATTTGTAAACAAAATATTGTTAGCTGTTTTCAAAAAGTAAGAGTTTGAAAACTAGTACTTCATGAAGTTTTGTATAATTCTAATAGTTTTGTATTCATTATTAAAAAACTAAAACTTTAAATGGACGTAATATTGGAATGTTGAAATTTAACATCTATAATTAAAAGTTCAAATGTCCATATTTTCACTTGTAATGATAAATATTGTATTGAGCTTATGTCAAAAATGTTTGCTCATGAAAATGTCAACGCAATATTTTGTTCGTATAGTCCAATAATCATATCATATTGTTATTGAGAAAAACATCAATGTATTAGTATTGTAAAATATAAAAAATGAGTATAAATTTGCACAATCATAATTTATTTTTGTAAAGATGTAAGTAGCTATATAAAATGTATGTAGTATTACTATGAGGAACTATGCTATAATATTGAAGTAAAAAAAAATGTATATGCAAATACTTGTTTTTAAATTATTGCGTTCAATTATAAAAATAAAATAATATGTTACAAAATGAATAATAAATTTTGTTATTTTTTGTTTTATTATAGATTTTATTAAATTTCAATAGAAATGGTTCAAGAAGAAGAAGCCACTGTTCAGTCTAAACATGTAATGTTGGATTACATAGAACGTAGCAGAATATCACATAAATTAGTTTTTTACATTAATGGAAAGGAGGTATGTATGTAGTGTATATGATAGATTTTAAATGCACAAATTTTTATTTTGCATGTATATGAAAAAGTACATCAATTGTATTTACTGTATAATACTTTTTAGTTCAAGAGTATTTAGGAGGATTCTTGCTCAGTGTAAATTATTTATATTAAAACTAAAATATTCTGTTAAGTGAATACTACATTTAAATAAAACTGTAAAGAGTGCACTTACATGTATTACAAATACTTTTCTTGTGGAATAATCTTTATTTTGTGACTAAGAACTGATATACAGTTTTATCATTAATTTCATAATATGCAGGATGTTACCGATCTGGTAGTGCAAGCTAAAAGGTGAATCTACATGAAAAAATAAGTCGAAAAAATTTTATATTTAATATTTTCATATTTTCAATTACCGTTCCAATTTCTAACATTAAGTACTAAGCGATAAAAATTGAAATAAAACGATAACGATCTTTGTAATAATTAGCAGCCATAGATGTGTTCCTAGCATACGCACTCAACGCAAGTATCATATCAACGTATTCTCTGTTGCTGTATGTCGACATATCAACAAAACGGCAAAGACTGTAAGTTTGATACAGAAATAGCAACAAGCCATGATATTGATGAAGTTTATGTATACAGACGCAACAAAAATTAGTCTACAGTGTAGCCAAGTGTACATGAATTCAACGAATCTTCAATACTAATTTACTCGAAAACGAAGCCTTAAGCGGAAAAACATTATTCTTTCTTTTCTACTTATTTTTACATATAGATTCACCTCCTTGCGACTTGTACCACCAGATCGATGACACTCTGTATGTTTATTTTGAAGAGTTATTCTCTTGACAATAAATCTGGCATAAATAGTATTTATTTTAACTTTATTTTACATTATTGCAAAATAATACTTGCGACATTACACCATTGTTGTAATATAAATAAATTCTCGTTTCATTAACCATATCATATATTTTTAAATATTCTTTTTTAATCGGCATTATTTGACCAATTTTCTAAAAAAGTTTTAAGTTATTAATGTTTTTTTTTTTAATTTTGGCTCTATATTACATTCATTCATATAATATTGTAGGTGGTGGACGATAAAGTCGATCCAGAATGGACTTTACTTTGGTATTTGAGAAATAAGTGTATCCTTTTCATTGTTTAAAAATTGAACAAACGTTTATACTATGTATATACTGTGGTGTCCGGATATATGGCCATAAATTTGTCCGCTTATGCCCGATATACACTAGCGATCCGGTCACGGTCCAAACCATCTATGTTTGACTAAAAATTCGGTTTTTACAATTTTCAACATGTTATCTTTTGTTAATAACTTTGAAGCCAACAAAATGGCGACAAACTCATCATTATTTCACATAGACTACAACATTTATTTTTGTCAGATTTTAAAAAATGAGAGTAAGGATTCGTTTTTGCAAAACAAAAATTTATTTACAATTTTCATATTGAAAAGGAGTGCGTACAACACAATTAAAAATATTCTTAGAAAGTTCCATCTTTTGTGATGCGAATGAAAATAAAATAGACTACAAGATTTTACAGTTTCATAAAAATCAGAATTGGAATGGAATAACCGGTGCACAGTGGGCCAGGAACCCCCAAAAACTGGCCAAAAGTCAAGTAGAAAATTAACGTAAGGAAGACTTATCATCATACTCAGGAATAGTTAAAGTACACATGAGCAAAATATTTTGTTGATTCAACAATTCCTGTTCCATTGGCATTGATCTAAAGTTGAAAAGCGCTTTGAAATTACTGGTATGACTATTTCTTCCAACATTAATGTTATTCATCAATTTATGTTTAATTTATGAAATTTTAGTTTTATTTATTTATTTATAGATACATATCAATTAAGAATAACACAGATAAGTTACGAAAGTTAACTAGAAATTGTAATATTTTATTCTTTATTGTCATACTGTAACCATATTTCGCAGAATCTCCACCTTTCGATTCACCATTCCCCGACATTCCACCTCTTATAAAGGAAAATGAAGCTTAAATGTGTTCTATATAATGTATACTTTAAGATAGGACTGCTACTTTTTGCTACTTTTGTCGTCCAATTGAAATAAATATTATTTATGAGCGGTCGTACGCGCACAGTTGGACACTAGACTACGGTCGAATATACATACCGGGTGGAACAGATAAAGGCTGTTTTCTCCGAAGCCATTGCAGATATCAACTTGAAACTTTTAGGTGTTAAATGGTGTATAGGGATTAACATTTTAGAATGTAAGACATTGTGGGCGTGAGTTCCTTAAGGGTGGACATGATGCCACACTCATTTTTTTTAAATAGGATGGCATATTAATTTTTCTATATTCGGAAAGATGTTATCAAACCTAACAACTTTTACCTAATGCATTTCTTTTCATTCTGCATAGTTAAGGAGTTATAGCGGAAAAACCTTACGGAAGGGGAGTTTCGTGTAGGTGTTGAAATATATCAAAAGAAATACATTTTCTGCTTTGAAAATTATTTTATTAGATGTTCAAAGAGTTGTCCATTCACTTCCAAACATGTATTCATTCTTGTGATAATATCTTTGCGAACATTTGATAATATTGTTAGACTTATGGATTTACATGCGGTGTGAATTCTTCTTTTCATATACCCTTTTGTAGTAGGTGTCGTTGCCACCAAATTTTCCTCTATACATATAGCCCCATATTTAAGAAGTCCAACAACACAATTTAAGCCACTTATAAAATATATGTTGCAAACTATTCATGGTTTCCTATGCCTGGAACACTACACAAAATTCTTATTCATGGTGCAGATATTATAAGTACGAGTATTCTACCCGTAGGAATGCTTGGCGAAGAAGCTAGTGAAGCTCGTAATACAGATTTTAAAAATTACAGGCAATATCATAGTAGAAAACTAAATCGTAAAATAACTTTGGCAGATGTATTTTATAGATTAATGGATACATCAGATATTATAATATCAACTTTAAACATTAATTCACGCCTAAGAAAAAAGAAATTTTTATCCATTCCACAAGAGATAAATCATTTGTTAGCTGCTCTTGAAATAAATGTGAGTAGCTGTACTGTTTCTCATGTACACGATAGTGATAGTGAAGACATGAATGCAGATGAAGACGAAGGGAGAAAAAATACAGATCTTCTACATGCTTTCATACAATTAGATGAGCTTGAACTGGTAAACGAACTGACAGAATTTTAAATATGTGTTCAATAAAAAACGATTGACGTTACCTACAGAATCGTAAATAGCAGCAAGTCGACTCACTTACATTTTATAATATCTCGAGTAGTGAGAGGCAAGGGGACTCACTCTAATAAAGCACCCCAAATTACAGAAATTCAGGGTAATTACAGAAGTTGACGTGCCGTAAAGCCACTTCAGACATACACACACACACAGATTAGTCCCGTTTGGACTGATCTTCCGCAGGGCCTCACCCCCACCACATCGATCAGGGAAAACCAGGGTGGGCTGCGCACCCCCTACTCCCGGAAGACGGACGAGGAAGGACTCCTATTCGTCCGCATAGGCCACCCCCTCACGATAGTCTCAGATAAAAACTGTACGAAAGGCCCAACGCGCCTGCAATGTCCAAAAAGTTTCCAAAAGATCAGCACCATAGTTCACACTTACCACACTCATGCTCAAACATTGAAACACTCACACAATATTAATTTGGCATGTGAGAGACGCGATACCCTGAAATTAATAAAGTTTAAGAATCGCGTCGAAACAGGCCAGTTTCTGGGGGTTCCTGGCCCACTGTGCGACGCAGTGGGACGCGACTTAAGACACCCCCGCGGTTCACCGTGTAAAGTTGAGAACAGATACCCTATTGATTTGGAGTCTGTTTATTCATTGAATACGTTAGTGATCTGATCAGAACTGAAGATCATGAAAACATGAAAAAATCAAGGATATCGTAATTCTGATAAGTACGGGAATGAAAATGAAGTTCTGTGCATTAAAACAAAAAATGGAAAAGCATATAAACGATTAGTAGCACTTTGTCGTTAAGTAGATCGCTCGTTTGTTTTTTCATACCGTAAGTCAGAATAAATAATTTCAACAGTGAAATTTGTTTCATTATTTAGACTTTTAATAGGTCACAAAAATTAATTTAGAAATAAAGAGTTACAAACACGAATGACCGTACTTATGAATATAGATACTTAACTAAAACAATTTAGTGCATTTGTCTGGCACGAAACTGGGCTGCGCAGAAGGCGGTTGTGGAGCATGCACTGTAATGATATCGAAGGTGGACCGTGCAACCGGAGTTATTACGTATCCTTTTCAGTCGATAGCAACGGAAAGATTTTAAAAAACTATAAAAATATATTCAAAACATTTTCCAACATAGAATCGTGAAGTCAAATAAAACTGGTCATTG